TCCCCACTTCCCATGGGCAGGCAGGTGTTCAGCCATCTCCAGGAAAGCAGGGCTCCATCACGCCTAATGGTGACTTGGGAAGACAAACGACATCACTCTGAACGTCACCCCTTCCTCCTTCTTCCCCCAGCTTTATGTGCTGAGCAAGATGTCCTATGGTCTGGAATACCCCTCTGGTCAGTTGGGGTCAGCTGTCCCGGCTGTGTCCCCTCCCAACTCCTTGTGCCCCCCCAGCCTCCTCGCTGGTGGGGTGGGGTGAGGAGCAGAAAAGCCCTTGGCTCTGGGTAAGCCCTGCTAAGCAGTAACCGAAACATCCCTGTGTTATCAACACTGTCTTCAGCACAAATCCAAAACATAGCCCCATACTAGCTACTGTGAAGGAAATTAACTCTATGCCAGCCACAGCCAGCACAATAATAAACACAGAGATCTCCAAACACACTGGCACAGGAAACACCAACTGATAAAGAAGTCTCTCATGAATTTCATGTACTTATAGCACAGTGTGGCTATAATCAAGGAGAAGAACATTTTAACTGAGATACAGAGGACAAGAATATTAGACTTACTGAGTGCAATCTTTTTGGTTGCTTTAAATATTAAAGAGGTTGGGTTTGCTTCAGTATCTCACTTATCATTTATGGTGAGAATAATTTCTGCTTCCCGAAGACCCAAGTCTTTATGAAAAGCATTACGAATCTGATCTATTTGAAATGCAGCTCTAAACCACAACAAATACAAACTCTCTTTCAAAGACATTTCAACCTAAATAACTTTTAGGACAATTTTCACGTTAAAATTGATCAATAAATGAACATTTTTGTTTCTTTTGTTGTTTTTGTTATCCTACAAATGCTGTGTCATGGCTAGCTTGTCTCTCTATGTTTCATGACAACAGAAGAAAAGTAATGTGCTATTGCATGGTTATTTTATGTCCAAGACAGGTTTCATTATTCCCTTTTTCCAACACATGGCTCCTCCCATGGGCTCTCTTGGACTGTTTTTTCCCAGACCTCATCCCAGCCTGGTTTCTCACTGGGGGGTCAGCCCCAGGACCCAGCTGGCTCCTTAGCCCTGCATCAGCCACCATCACAATCTCCTTTTTAATTGCCTGTTTGAATACAGATCATACACAATAAACTTGCATTGGGTCGGTGCAGTATTTTTAACACGTCACTGTTACCCTCTCATAGATTGTCTCATTTACATGAGGTTAAAGACACTAATTTAAAAAATACAAAGCAGGTGCTGCAGAATGAGCCATAATCAGAAATAAGGCGACAGAAAGGCAGTGTGAGGTATTCTCCCAGAGCACACACAGGCAGGTCCTGACTGCTTTGTGAATGATTCATAAGGAACACTGTAAACTCAAAGTAAATGCAACATGTTTTATTTGAGGTTGAAATAAATTACAGCTGTAAAGCATAATTTATTGCTTTATAAATTGTCTGCTCTTAAAAGGCATTAATATCAAACATAAACAAAACAAAGACACATTCGATTAGCAGTTCAGTTCTCTTAAGCTTCATGAACAGCTCAGTAGGGGGATTTCATTCTATATACGATTGAAATCTCTGATCACAGGCTCATAAACTTGACTTTGGCATGCATTACCATCATTCAGACATGTTCAGGGGACTGTAGATGTGTTCATTTTCTTTAGGATATAATTTTTATTGCAATTTTCCCTAAAATATCCCATTGAATACCCAGTCCTTCATTCTTCACTCAAATACAAATCCCACTGGTTTCAAAAAACTCCTCTAAAAGATACGTAGGGTTTTCAACCCCTGCAGAAGGAGGGCTTCCAAGTCTAGAACAGGAATGAGTCTGGTCCCAAAACTAAGTGAAAAACAAACTCCTCCTACATTAAAATACTGAAATCCCATGCACAAAAAACGTTTCCTCTCATTCTGAAGATTCTTGCAAAAAAATCCCAACATTCTCTGAATGAACTGATGCGGATACTTCATATTTTTATTGTATAGTTAATCCATGCCTGAGACTGGCGTGAATTTTGCTCAGCACCTGTACTCCTCTAGGATGCAGACGCAGACAAGTCCAGTCTGCCTTGAGTCCTGGGGGCTGCGAGGGTGCTCACAGGAGGCTAAGCGCACTGAGCACGTTGCAGTATCCAGCCCTAAATGCACAGATGCCACGACACAATGAGCTGGATCTGGCTAGCTCCAGCCAGATATGACAGGCAGAAGGAAGGCCAAAAAGTCACTTCCTTGGCCTCCCGGCTCCTGAATGCCAGAAGGGGAATAAACTGATGAGCAGCTCTCACTGCACCACGAAAAAGGATTCCACCAAGGCATCCTGCCCTGCTCTGACCCTCTTGCACTGCAAAGGCCAAGTGCTCCTCGTGCCTTGGCTGCAGAACAGCATCTCCCTGAGCAGGAAGCATGCACTTATGCTCTTGCTTTCCCATCTGGGTCTGAAGCAGCATAAAAAGCGAGCTGGCTTGTGCCCTGTATTACATCAGAGGCAAAACTCTCCAGAAACAGAACCGGAGACTCCCGTCTCAGCCCTTGGAAAAACTCAGAAAGTTTGCAGAGAAAATCTCCAGGGCAGCTTCTCTTCCAGCCACAAAACTAACTTTAAAAATAATGAGCCCTGGTACAGAAAATATTTCTAAAACTGGCTCAGCATTGCTTAGAAAGTTCCTATTTAGAGAAGATTTTCTTCTCATACCAGCCTCTAATGTTCTTGTCACACCTACGAGAATGTCAACAGCTGAATGAGATGCTAGGATATTTTATGCTATATTACTGAATGGGAATGGTTAAGTCTGTTACTGGATCCAATCTGTACCAAACTTCAAGGAAAATACTATTATATTGATCCTGGAGCGATTTCAGTTTTCATTAAATTTTAATCAGTAATGTACATATCTTTTGTATGTTTTATGCATAATGTCATTTAAAAACCAGCAAACAAACTTCCTTCTTCTAAACACAATTTCCTCAGAAGATGTGTCTCTGTTGTGCCGTGAGGGATGGCCAGCTTTGATATCTGCGAGGTGGTACAGCAGATTTCAGGCGCTGCACTTGCCCATAATGGCTCCCAAGTGCCATGGCAGAGCTTTGGTGGGAGGCTGTGGAGCTGTGCCGAATTGGGCCAATTGTTCAGCACTTTTCAGTGTCCTCCTCATTCAGGGACTGGTCAACCCTGGTTTAGCTCCCAGCCACATGGTAAAGTGCTTAACGGAGGGGTGGGGAACACTAATGTCCCTTCCTCCAACTCAGCTCCTGCCTTGGGAGAGGCTTGTGGAAAGATGGCTTTGTGGCTGCTTTGCTCTAGCAGAAGGACACTGCAGCTGGGACAAGGGCATGCATACGATGAATGCCTGATTCATCACCATCTTAGAGAAACATAACTCAGAAATGTGCAAGCCTTTAAAATCATCAGTCATCTCATTTACGCTCACCGAGAACAGATTCTTGGCTGACTTCTTTTTTTCCTTAGCAGTTCTGAATTTTTCTTTGAAGATGAGAAGGAGGAAAGCTAGCCTTCAGGGAGAGGGACAAGCAGAGACATTGCAAATTAAAATGCGCGCATATGTCATCCACCACAGCAGTGACCTCCAGTCTGCACTTAACAACACAACATCTTATTATCTTGAACCTTAATTTCTCATCCCTTTCAAAGGTTCCCAAAAGCACTCCTTTCTGTGTCAGTGAGATGTCCCAGGGGACTCTACAGAGAAAACTAATGAGAGGAACAAACTGTTGTCACCAGGAAAGGTTACAGGGTTACATTCAAGCCACAGACTCTGGAGGAGCAAGGAGCAGAGTTACTCCATTTTCTGGTGCAAGTGCTGTACCAAGCAGCAAGACGAGCACACGGTGAGAAGGAAGATGGGCTAATGGTTAGTGCATGGGACTGGGATTTGGCAGAGGGAGTTAATTCACCTTCCCCTTGTTATTGAAGTGATCGGAAAAATGAAACAGTTTATATTAACTTCAGGGTGCTCAAACATTCCCAGCTCAGCAAATACACCCAAAATATTTCTCCTAACAGTTCCTAACAGCTTATGCATTGCCCCGCTCAGACTAAGCACACCAGACAGAAATTTTCTAAGGAATCACACTTCTAGGAAAAAAAGAACCAACAAACTTCAGGATTGCTACATCTCGGCTAAGGCTCATTTACCCATCTGCAAAGCCTCTTACCCCTCCTGATCTTCACTCCCAAGCTGCCCATTTGCCATGCACTTGCAGCCAGGGAGAACAGATCAGGAACTCTTAAATTCATTCACATCTTTATTTCTAATTCACCAGCTTTTGCCTCCTGCAAGGCACTCAGGCCAGCACTGTCTAAGGGGCTTCTGTTTAAAGCACCTTCTGACCAACTGGGGACCAGGCTCCTACTGAACTCAAAAGCAGATGGGACAATCAGTGAGTGCATCTGAAAGAAAAGCTGTTAGCTGGTGTGTTTGCTCACAGGGAGGGCAGTGTTCAGCTACTCTAGCAAAATATGGCAGGCATACTAATTAGTGGTTATAAAATGCTCTAACTTTTCACAGACCTTTATAAGTGCTGAGCATTTTAACTGGCAGGACAGCCATGCCTGAGAATTCAGTGTATTGTTAGAAACTGGTATTTTCCTCTCCTACAATCCTTCTCATCACAGAGTGTCTCGTGGAACAAACAAGTGTCTATATTGTGATTTTACCAATGGAGGAACTGGGTCAGAGAAAGACACCAGCTGGATCAGACCCATGGAGCAGATGGAAGACTTAGTCAAGCAAAAACTACGTCGCTTGATGCCGGGCCCAGTGCTCCATCCCCCCACCAGAGGTTACCAAATAGGGGACATAAATAATCCCCCAAAGGAACTGATGTATCATGAAGGGTAAAGAGCCTCTGAAGCTATGCATAATGGCATAAAGTACAGCACAAGTGTATTACATATTTAGCTCTATCCCTGCTTCTCTGTCACGAGGGCAGTGGGTTGCTCGGACAGATGTCTTCTGGTCAGCCTACTATGCTCCTTCCTATGGAAGTAAAGGTGTGTATGTAATTCAGTAGTAGAACAGGAGTTTGGTTTTACATGGGCTGAAAGAATGTTTCTTATACCCAAATGAGATTTTTGCATGCATCTGCATACTCACTCAGATGCTGCCTCTGCCGTGCTCCATGCCTGAGTTTCATGCCGGGTTTGCTCTGCGTAGCAGGCATATCATACGCACACAGTGACCTGGTACAAGAGCACATTCTGCAGGCCAAGTCTCAGGCAAAAATTCACCTACAAAACCTAAGTGTGTTGGTAGTTTTCTTGCAGTGAATCGGGCTTTCACTAGGAATTAACATAAGCTGCAATGACTAATCTTACACTCTGTGCATTTGCTTATTTTCTCTTCACAGTTCAACCACTTTCTTCCTTAATACTAAAATGCTAAAGTCTTACATAGCATTCAGAGTATTATTTTCTGCTGGCTGTGTTTCTCTATGTTCTAAGCCTCTATCACAATGCATGCAAAGGATAATGGCTGGATTTGTAATGCTTTTAACTAAAAAAATACTTTTAAAAACATAAACCATAAATTATTTATTCCTCTTTGCCCATTGTTTTAAGTGCTGAGTCTTCTCCCAAGATTTTACACAGTTCATTCAGTCTCTGCTGCATCTTAGGAACTCCTGCAAGTTGGGATTCCAGTCTCTGTTTTTCCTCACTCAGTGATAAACGGATAGTGGTGTCCAACTGCTCGAAACGCCAGCCGCCTTGTCCATCAAACTGCAGCAAGTGAGTGTGGTACTTCCTGCAGTAGAAATTAAAACATTAGTAATGGCTCAGGGAACAGATGGTTCATTTTTGCACGCAAATTTGGATGTCTGTGTCGCTTTTCAATGGTGCCTCTCAGGAAGTTGAGAGTTGTCCAGTTTTGGATCACTGGGTAAGACTTTTTCAGTGACTCATAATCCCAGGACACTCTTTCATAAGGGATTTGGGTATTTTAAAGCCTGTCACCAGGACCTCCCTAAGCCATCTAGTGAAATTCAGCAGCAAGGTGCCAGCTGTAAGCCATCAGCACTGGTATGGGCTCCCCAGCTGGGGCGGTCAGTGCCTTGAGCAGCTCACGGGGGACATCACCTGCAGTGATGCTGGCAGGAGCGGGCAGCATGGCTGTGGAGGGTGCCCTCATCATCTGCTGTCTCTGGCCAAGGTGGTGGCCTCCCTCTTTCTGCCTCCCTCTTAGAAGTTGCCTTCACTGCAACTCCACTAGACTCCTTTTTCTCCAGGAGCTTGAACAGCAGCAGCAGACACGGCTCCCTTCTCCCCCAGGAAGGCTAGTCCCACTTTACCTTGCTTTCTGAAGAGACGTTTTGCCTCCTTAGTAGAAAATACATTCGGGCAGACACGGTGTACCTGATGCTACTGATAAAACTCTAGCTTTTTCAAATTACACCTCAGTTTGTTCCCAGGTATCTTATAAGGTTGGTTAAAGAAACCTCCAGTCCTAAAACATGGTTCAGTATGCAAGGGGCCAAAATAACATAGTCTGTGTAGGAGTCACAGATCTTTCAGTGAGTATCAGGGTGTGTGCACCGAAAATATTCAAAGGCGTACATGTGGAGTTTGTCAAGACCTGACAAGACATATATCAGGAGGTGCAGGAGGAAGAGCAAAGAGTTCCCTCAGAGCTGCTGGTATGACTGTGTAATTTATCACTATAAATTATAGAAGATGAGATGCATCATAAAACAGTGATTATAAAGCCCATCCAGGGAACGTGACAGTTTAATAACCTCAATAGCTTATGACATGGGACTTAAAAGAGATTCAACTCCAGGCTCATATTCACCACTTCTTGCATATTATTCTTTGTGACACCAAATTCTTAACCTATCCCTCTATTTTTCCCCCACCAAAAACCAAAAAAATCAGGAAGCTAAGATGGCTAGTTGAGATATCCAATGTTTGTGATCTAGGAAAGTAGCCAATATTTTGATTAAAAGAGCAAGTATTTCCCGGTATAATCTTGAGGATGACAAAACAGCATGTGAACCTGGTTTTTGTCTACGTGGTGCAGTCCCTGTGGAAGCATATCTGAGTCAAAGGCATTTGATGCTGATTTCTAAATACTCAGCACTTCTGTTTACTTCTCTAGAACCCCCATAACCACCAGATTTCTGCTAATTTCAGTAATACTGTTGAGGTTACACGAACAATCCCAAACTTTCCTGAATTGCCCTAGTACTAGGAAACAAGAATGTTGGCACGGAACTGAACTCAGAAGATCTTTCTCACAAGTTCTTTCACATAACTTCCCTCTGCATCATCATTATTTATAGGTGAGATGCCCTCAAATACCTGTTTTCTTGAGCAGTGGTTTTAAAATAATGCTAAACTTTAAAAAATGTAAATACTACTTTTCTTTTTAAGTGTAATTTACATTATTTTAAAAACAAATGTCTATGTGACATTTTTCCCTATCAGAATACACATTTTTTCTTAACATTTAGGTCCTGATCCAATAAAAGCCATTTTCACTGTCACCATCTGCACAGAGGAAGGAGGGATGCTGGGGAAACCATTCTCTTTCAGAGAAGCAGACACTGATACAATTTCTTTCCTTTGAGACAACAAACTGGTAATGGATTTTTTGTCATCAGTTTAAAAAAACCAAACAATCTGACAGTAGAGATCAAGGAGTTCAGAACAAATAGTCTCTGCTAATGTCAGCTTACACATTCTTGATCTCCTTTTGCCCTTTAAAGTATTTGGCTGGTTTATGTATTCAGTAACTACATTTACTTCCTTTGAGGGACTCTTCCATACTTAGTACTCCCTCACTAGAATGATGTTTCTCAGAATTCCAATATTTCTTTTTATTTCTTTTTTTAATAGACTATCAAATTTTGAAAGCTCACAAACCCTGCAGACAGAGGACACAACTGAAGTTAAAACACCAGATGTATTATTCCTATGGAAGAACAAAAAGTAGTTTAACCACTTGCCATATTTCCCATCTTCTCCCAAGCATTGGTAAACTTCCCCAGGACAGCTCATGTATCTTGTCACCTTTACAGAATAATCTGGTGATATCTGTTGTGGCTGTGGTGTGGTGGACTAATTAATTGCCTCTTAGATACCTGCATTTTGCTATTAATAGTTAATAACTGAAACACCTTTAAAAAAATAAGAGGGAGGAATAAATACATGTCAAAGAATGAAAAAAATCAATGCTAAATGCATTTACATCACTATTATTGTAGACAAGTTATCTTAGAAAGTGCAGTAGATATTGATTAAACAACTGCCCTAGTACAAAGAATAATGGCCAACCCACTGCTTGTCAGAAAGCTAAAAGCAAGGACCATGATAAATCCCTGAACATACTTACCAAAGAGAAGGTCTGTGTGTTATAGAAAGCAGGGATATCCCAGCAGCTTCTGCAGCTTGGAATATCTTTCCTTCAACATCAATGCTTACAGCACTCGTGCATTCATCCAGCAATGCATATTTTGGCCTTTAAAAAGCAGATAAAGAACATTACTCTTCTATGTGTTGGACAGTATTCCCATGTACGAAGTTTAATTGAAAGAACAACAGGAAGGAGAGAGCTATTTTTGCCACACGGCTGTCTCTCATCTACAGCTGGAAGGTGGCTAGCAACAACATAAAGTTTCCATGCATTATTCAGGTGCCGAGTCAGCTTTCAGGAGAAATGGGTTTTATTTCCTGGTCCGAGTACACAGTGATCTAACTTCTATGTTCTAGTTTGACCTAGTATTATTCTGTCCTGTCATCAAGTCATGCAGTAGCTACAGCCAACTCAGAAACTTTCTGTCTACTGCTATGTATGGACTGGGCTGCCTTTGCATGCTTGCTGTCTCCAAACCCAAAAAGTTTTGGAGCTTGGCTTTCAAATTCCTATAGCCTCTGCAACAGTCCATCAGACTTCTGCAATATTTGTAGGACAGATGCAGGGAAAATGTCTGTGCCCAAGATGTTAAAGAAAGGAACATCTGGAAAATGTAATGCTATGTTGCCAAAAGCAAAGCTTAAGTAAGAAGTACTGCCCAAACCAAAAGCAGAGTTTGAATAAAAAACAAGGTCTGTGGTCCTATGCAACTATCTAGCAGTATTGCATATTGCATTGAGATTATAGTCTATTACTGCTCAAATTATTACAGCAAAACTCTTCCTCATTTTCAGATGCTACTTAAAGAACAAATAAAAATGCTTACTTATGGTAAAACATCCGAGCCATGCCCATCCTTTGTTTTTCTCCTCCTGATAAGACATCTTTCCAATCCATGATGGCATCCCAGCCTTTTAAAAAAATGCAAACAAACCACATCAGGACAATGTAAGTTTATGAAGCAAATGCAGCTTCACTTGCAACATGTCTGCAATCTGCAACCAAAATCATAAAGAGCATTTCCATTGCAGAAGAAACAGCTCAGGGTTCTGGATCACATCTTCTGAAACACCTCAATGACTTTTGACTGGCACTCAGTTGGAAAAATGTCCAAAATATCATGTCAATTTTGAAAGTGGAATTTAACCTCCTTGGTCATGTAGGTATTGTCAAAAACTTTACTTACCATCTCTTTGAAAAAAACATCTTTTACCTGTGTATAACTAATCAATTTTTTCTGTCACGTTTGTTTTATAGAACAATTTGCTATTCCTTCTTGAAAGGTGTGAGTGGAAATTTAAAAACAAATTCAAAGAAATAAAGTGCAGAAAACATAAAGAGCACTGCCTGACTCCACTCACTACTGTAGGCAAAGAATAAGTGTCAGCATATTCAACAGAAACACAGATGCAGACTGCAGACACATGGAGAAATTCTGTATACACAGACAAGCAGCTAACACACAAAATTGCATACAGACAGGAGGATTTTTTATACAAACTTCTCACTACCTTGTACTTAGAAATGACCCACAACTGTTATATCACTGTGTATCCTTATTTAATTTCTGCATGGCTGGCCTCTAAATGGTTCTTTTCTTCATCACTTTCAGCTACATGGAACAGGACTGTGATGCATTTTATCTGCGATCTCCCGGTGGACTGGTGTTTCTGTGAGTAATCTGGCATGATTCATTCCCACTAATGAAAAACTTAAAAAACCAAATTACCCTATTGAAAATAAGTTTTCAGTCAAACAATCCAGATAGAGTAGCAAAATAGACGAGTTTTGAAAAGGGAGAGTGTGGATGCCAGGAAAATCTGGTAAGATATTTGTCTCAATAGATCATCTATTCATGAGACAGGCAGCTGGAGCGGGGTCGACTGAGGGCAAGAACATTTTTCCAAATCAGCCCAGAAGCACTGTAACTAAAAAATTAACGACATGACCAAAAGCCTTTTCTGCCACTGTCCACCTGAAAATCAACATCTGCCAGGAAAGACTATAAACAAGGTCAAGCAAGGAGGGTGGGCAGTGTCATTTCTGATACCTGACCAAGGGTGAGACAAGTGGGGCTTGTGAAGGTGCAGGAGGCTGGGGAGTGCTCGATCCGTGCTTGGTGCTACACCAGGGCTTGGTAGGTCTGAACAAAAACCTCAGTGAAGCATCTAGTGAGAGGCTGTGTGACTGAAAACAGGAATTGGTAATGCTAGAGCCTGAATTCCAAGAATTTTCTATACGTAAAATTGTAAAATACAATGTCATGATTTTTTAATATATGTGTATATAGTTCGATTTAAAAAGCAGGCATGCACACAGCAGAAATACATCACCTTTACTCATCCCATTGTTTTTTCTTAGTTTCCTTCCATTCTTGTTTAAGGATCCCAGTGGGCACCCCCCCGGGGGCACATACAGTGCTTTCTATCAGCAGGCTCCTAGCAAAGATGGAGTTGTGTAATAATTAACTGAATCACCATTTGGATGAATTCTGGTAAAGGGAATAGATACACAGAGGCTGCTGCTGCTGAGCAGTCCTGGTGCTGGGACCACACAGAGAGTTGGAGTGCTGTTCCACTGACACCTTCAGCTTCCAAAAAAGACTGTAAAATGTCTGGAGCACTCCTTTTTGGCAAAGGGTGCTAGGGGCGAAGGATGGGAATGGTCCTTCATGAAAGCCATAGAAACAGCTATGCTTCTGAAGGCAGTGTTCAGGCTGCTGCTTATATTCTGTTACTTTAAGCTGAGAATATAGACAAGGTCTATATCTGGATCTGAGCTAGGGTGTGGATGGGTGTGCATGTGTGCACATGCGCCTGGGGAAGCAGTACCTGCGTTCAGACAGTTTCTTCCAGATCAGCCGATTTATAAAGACTTAGAAAAAGACAAAAAGTGAATGAAGTTCAAGAAGAAGCATCACTTTGTCAGCAAAATCATTCTATTATTTCCTCTAAAGGTATAAGATTTAGCCTCCCTTTACCAGGATACAATGGTCATCTCTGGTCACTTCAGCTTACATTCTAACTGAATATTAGAAGTGCGTCTTGTCTCCTCCCGCCTAGCTCCCTCCCTCAACTTTCCTATTTGCCACTTGGAATGTCTCAAACAACAGATAAGGAAGGATCCATTTTAATATCCCTTTTAAAAATCATTTTCTAATGTCTGAACAATTTCTTCTGAACACTGAGGCAATGTAACTCACAATAAACCGACTTCCTACTGTGCATTAACAATAAGGCACCTACTTGTTTATCTTTTCTTCCTGCTGACATGGCACACGTCAGGGAAGGACATTAGTGTTGTGAAAATATCAGCCAAGTCAGTGGCGTATGTCACCCGTAGCTACATCCACTTTATAAATGAAGACATGAAATGGCTTTCTATGAACAGAGAAGAAATGAAATGCCTTGCCTATGAACACAGCACAAATCTCTCAGTAGGTACAAACATAATCCTGGCTTTCAGAGTCCAAATTCCTTGCCCAGCTTCTTGTTACGTTTAGCCTTTGATTGCACATGGTATGATGCAGATGTGATGAACAGTGGATGTCACAGAAATGCCTTTTGCAACCAGAAAGACAAAGAGCATGTGTAATGTGCTGGGGCAGAGTAACAGCAGTAGAAATACATACAGCTGTCAGCAGAAACTAGTGATAGCCTCATGACAGCAGCATTTCATTTTCTTGCATGGCTTCTTTTATAATTCCTTTTACCTCAATTTTCTGAAGGAAAAAGCCAGCTAAATTTGACAACAAAGAAAGGGTTACATCTGGCGTCTGTAGCGCTGTGTATCCTTCATCCCTGTGAATCCTCGCGCTTACATGCAAGACAGAGCATTCAGCTGCCATAAAAAGACAGGCTTAACAATTCCTTTTCCAGATCTACCTTCCAATGCACCTCATCAGACATGGACTGGAGTGTTACAGCTTCATGACAGAAGAAAGGCTACTGCAGCAAACTACAGCCAGAGAGTCCACCCCTGGTTAGTTTTTGAACATGGAGGCCTCTTGCACAGCGTATGTCCCCAGGCCGTTGTCAAAACAGAAGAGAGCTGGGGTGCTGCGCAGGATGAATATGCAAGGGCAATCCTTAGCTGAGGAAGAACAAAGAGACCATCAACTGGGTGAGCCCCAGCACAGCATGACACTGCAGGGATTTGTGTCTCTGGATTTCAGAGCCACTGGAAAAGCCAGCAGAGCACTCCAGAGTTCCTGCTGGTACCAGTAACAAAAGCAAATTCAGGGCTAAAATGATCAGAAGAAAAAATCTCAGAGAGAGGAAATGTGCTGGTCTGTGTGTTTATACGTGGCCTAGCACAAAGATTCCCTGGACAAGACCCAGAGATATGACAAATGTGCAAAATAATGAGGAATCATTATAATCTGGGGTGCTGAGAAACCATAAACAGGTTGAACTTGTTCAGTAATGTCATCAGCCCCAACCTGACAGGCCCGGTCATGCATGCAGCATGCTGCTACACGTACTCATGGCTCCTCTCATGTGACAGGTTATCGGCAGCCTAAGGCTGCTCACAGTTGACACTTGCTACATGCGTACAGATTTTCAAAGCAGGTCAAAAAGGAACCACTTTATGTATTTCTACTGCACATCTCCACACTATTACCCACGATTTCTGGGCATGCCCTTTCACCGCCTGTGCTGAATACAACCTTCTTTGCTATCCTCATTTTGTATGAAATTATTGTTCTGGTAGAGCTAGCAACTTTGCAGGTGTCGATGGGGACACCTTATTGATAATATAAAGGTAAGTAACGAAATGGCATCCCTCTAATATCCAGCAGGTGAGAAAAATAACGGCGTGGGATTCAGTGGGAAGGAAATTCTGCCCCTAGCAGCAAGGGGTGCTACTATCATCAGCAATTGCAGTGGTTTCTTCTAGGGCTTCAGCTCACGGACATCAGGAATGGTGGTGGTGGGGAGGGAGATGTTATTTTGGTGGTTTTGGTGTATTCTGTTGCTACTGACTGAAAAAAGTTTCATGAGGATAACACAGAAGCTAATGCCAAACTCGGCTACTTATTCTTGTAACTATTCTATTTACTTCTAACTGGGTCAAATCTTATTGCTAGAAAAAGAGAGGAATTTCTGCCATTGGCAACAACAAGAATAATGTCAGGCTCTTGTTGGCTATTTCACACTTGGACTCTGGTGACCCTTGTACTGATGCAATGTGGAAGCAATTCAGCCAAAGACAATAAAATTACACCAGGACAAATAAATTGAGTCAGAGTTGCGCACTTCTGGCTCCATCTGGCTTTTTCATAACTGCCCACAGGGAGCAGAACACAAAACTGCAAAGCATCGTATTATACATGCACGACATTCATGATCACTTAAAGCACAACAGGGTCATGCCCTAAGGAGCCTGCTGTCTGGTAGAGGCCTAATACTGCAGGGGATAGGTGAAAGGGAAAGAGACAGAGGTAAGGCTCTGAAGGACAAGAGGATCTACGTGAAAAAATATTGAATTATATTAGACTTCTGTAATTCAGTGACTGACAGATAGTTACCTCCATTCTTAGAACAGTTTATGGAAACAGTTCAAAACAGTATGAACATATCCCAGATATCCACAAGAATCTAAGTAACTAAAAATGGTTTCACTGATTTTTTTTTTTCCAGATGTAGTACATTTTCAAAAAGTGTATATAATACATAAATAGAAACTTGCTGGGAATTTTTCAGCAAAACTTTTTTTTCTGTTGGAAAATGCCAGTGTTTGTCAATCATCAAAGCAGTTTGCAAAAAGGAAAAAGACAGTTTGGGGCAAATCCCTTGTTCTACAAGCTTTATATGGGATTTTTAATTATTTTGCAAAGAAAAAAGTTCAATTTTTAATAGAAATAATTTTAGTTTAAAAATCTGATTTTAAGTAAAAGCATCAAATAAAAACTGGAATTAAAAAAAATGATTCAGCTACGTATAAACAAAAATTTCAATTGTTCACTTTCAACAAGTATTTCTCTGGCTTGCTGGTTCAAAAAACCAGAATATCAGTCTTTGTCCCAGACTGGGGGAGCTCTAAAGAATATGTAAGCATATGAAATCCATGTAATGTGTCAAATCATATGTCATGGGTTTCCTCTCTGCTCCTACCTTGGTACTTTTCTCCTGCAAATGCCCAAGGAGAAAAGGGATCAAGTAAGTGTATTATAGTCCTAAAAATTTCCTGGTATATGGTAATCTCTCCCTCTGTTTTCCGGCTTTGCCCACTTCTGTCATTTTAGATCGCAAAGTACCTAAGACACTATTTTTTGAACATTTGTTTGTGCAGACTTTTGCAGTGTGCCTTTATCCTGAGTGGAGTTTCAACAGAGTACCAGTGAACACTAACAGTGTCCTCTAGACTTTTTTATGGATAGTGTGTGTCTCGCATGCACAGTCAGGCAGGCAGAAGAGCAAGAATGGAGTCAGCAATAAATACTTTCTTTGGCACAGAAAGTAGAGCAAGACTGATCCAAATCTGGGGTTTCAGTTTGGCAATATGGAACACTGACCCTAGCCAACAGCATCTCATACGTGGAGCACAGTAACTGCTCCATCATCAGTTACACGCTCCAGCTGCAGGGTTATAAACCACAACAATGTGCATTCAGAGACTGCTGGGGATATGGTTTTGGCCACTGAGGGTCATGTGTTTTTCAGCACATCTACAAGTACCAGCAGGCTACAAATGCACACTCCACAGTGGCTTCTTGCCACTGACAATTTAACTGCTCCTCCTTTTCCAGCTTCCCATTCCAAGCTCCCCATTCCAACACATCTGCTTGTTCTTCTGCAATCTGGGCACTTCACATAGTGAAGTAAGTGACTCAGGAATACTAACAGGAATAGTTGTAATGTCAGTGTAACGAGTAGAGGCCTTCTCTGCAATTATTCCGGTCACTGAGTTTAGTGCTCTGCCCACTTTTCAACCCTTGTGTCAGTATTAGATCTGAATAATAATATGAATCAGAATGATGGCAGATTCTTATTTTCTATTGCAACTTGAGGGCCAACACTCATTACTACATTCTTAACAAAGAAGCATTAACCCGTGGAAAGATGAGAGTCTATCAACTGGACTGTGAGGTGGAGAAGTATCTGTAGGTATACAATTGCTGCTGTAAATGATTACTACTCCCCACTCTAAAATGTACAGAAAAGATACCAGATGAGTGTCCATGCATACTTCAAAAATAAAATACAACTTCCGCCTTTTGAACAGAGCAACAGGTTGCCACCCAGGAATGGCAATTTAGACATTGCCTTGGGATTCCCAATGGCTGAGGCACTACTCTCTGTTGCCAGAACAATCCTGAGAGACACCAAGCACACACATTACGAGGCAATGCACCTGAAGTACCCTCTCAAAAAGGAGCACTGACAGCAGGCAGAGAGAGGCAAGGTACATCCAGCACTCCCAATGTCAGCTCCTTAGAGGGGTCTGAAGATCCTCCTTCTCTCTAAATGTTACCACCTTTGTCCTATGTCTGTTTTAAAAGCATAATGATGGGGAGGATATTCAAACTAGAGATTAGTGGCTGGTGGGAACAAAAGGATGAAAATTATTGCTATGCTTGGGAAAAAAAGCCATGAAATGCTCCAGTTCCTTAGACAAAAGAGAAGACTTTAGCATCTTAACATTTACTGTGCCAGTGTATTTACACTGTCCCCTATTCTTAGGACAAACGACACCGAGAACACATGGCAACTTAAAGAGCAAGTGGTAGATGGCAACAGTCTACTACCAGCCAGTGTCGTTTGGTTATTTTTAACTTGTTCGCCCTGGTGGTGTGGTATCAGACACTCCTTCTCATGGCACATAGTCCTGCTGATCCCACAAACCAGGGAGATGAAAGCAGACCTGACTCTCTGTTCATTCACATGCTTTCGAGTTGATGTAGTCAGTGACATTACAAGTTTTAAGACAGGTTACATTTTCTAAGAAAATGAAGGAAGGTCAGTGATCTCACAATACCATGAAAAGGCTGGCCATTACAAGAGAACAAGGATGTTCAGCTTGGGCATGGATTTACTGGGGAGGAGAGGAGCACTTAGCTTTTCTCCCTCCGTTAGCATCAGGAGCAACAACCATGTGGTTGTGCAGCTCCCACAACCACAAAAGGTCTGGATCCAGTTTTGCCAGTTCAGTAAGTAAAGGTTAGTCTCACTAAGACACACACACGAGGAATGGATTTTGTAAAGCTTTTAACAAAAAAATGCAATTTACCTCCTTCTCTTTGAACTATGTGGTACAGATGAACCATATGCAGGATACACTCCAGATCTTGATCTTGGTAGCCTTTCTCGTGCATGTCATCCACTGAGTCTGGATAGATGACTTGATCACGTAGCGTTCCAATGGACATGTAGGGCCTGAGAAACAATACAGAGAAACCAGTAATCTTGAGCTGGCTCCAAGTGAGTGCCTCTTGCTGACGCTCTGTGAGTAGACTATAATGCTTTAAACACCATGTTGCTAAAACTGGATTTATCTGTGGGTGCATTGTTGGTGAATGTTTTTCTAAACTTACCCTAGGGACAATGTATTGTTTCCATAACAGCTGATTACAGGGTAGCAACAGGGGTAGTATTAGCGTGAAAACAAAATGACAGATCAGGCAGAATAAACATCCACTTCATAGCTCATTCTGAATACTTTCACTTGGAATCAGGGAAACTCTACTGTATTCAAGGTTTGGTATGCTTAGAGATTTAGAAATTGAATTAAACACTCACAAGTTAAAAGCAAATTGTAACAAAAACATTGCAGCTCAAACTGGGAAAGACTTCCATGGTGCAGCAGCAGACACCCAAGTCAGGCAGGAGAGCATTGAAAGCCTCCTTTGCACACTACTGTTCTGGATTGCAGAATTGAGACCATGCGTAACTTAGCTGGCTCTAGAAGCCATTGTAACACTTCTGAATTGCAAAAAAAGCATACAATAGAGAAGTTGATCAGCTTAAACCTCCCAGCACCAGCCTCCCTTTGCCAAGCACAAGGCTGAGCTGTATGTGAAGCAGCTTCTAAATCACCATGTTCCCAGACCAGGTAATACCATCCGTCTTACTAAAACAAGGTGTCTCCACTCTGGAGCCAGAGTCCTCAATCACAGCCATGTCCCTGGAATGGCTACGGACAGTCTCCACAATGTCATAAGCTGTGCCCAGCCTCTGGTACAGCCCAGGCCCCAAAAATCCTCCTAGTCTCTAAACAAAGTCAGCTCAAAGAACAGTTTTACATCTCTAAAATATTCAGGCTAGGATAGCAAAGGCAATCTAAGACACATCTATTTGACCATCCCTTTTGCTGCTCTTGTTCTAAGGATTTCTTGTGAAGGATAAATATCCATCCTGTCCCACAGACACTGCTGATAGCTCTTGGAAGCTGCAAACACCCCAGGAATGATCTGTTAGATTTTGAGTTTGGAAGGGAAGGCCACAGCCAAAGAACAGTCAGGCTCCGGACTCTGTCCCCCTTTCTGCGTCAAGAGTTACACTAACTCCCTCTGAGTTCATCTGCCAAAAGAATGCTAGTTTTATTAAAGTTGTGGTGCCACGGGATGATGACGGAGAGGAGCGGTTAAAATTGGGCCAGCAACGAGGAGGCTTCCAGGCAGCTTGCTTTTGCCACTGAGAACTGCTTCCAACAACTTCACAGCACATTGATGAGAGGTCAATTTTCTTCCATGAAGAGCTCTGGACCTGCGTAGTGGGAAGGTCTCAGCCATGCAGAGGCTTTCCCTGACAGAGACTTATAATACCTTAGTAGATTTCTTCCTTCCCTTGGCTCTGCAGAAGGGGTGGATTTACCCATTGTTATTCTTAAGAGTCCCTAAAATACACCACAGAGTAATTTGACGGAATTCATAATGCAACAGCTGTAGAATTACAGAACTAAAGCTGCAACGTGAACTGAAAGTCATATTCAAGCTGGCATCAGCTGCATTGGGTTTAATGCTGCAGACATCCATGGTGAACTGTCTGTACCCACCCCTAGTTAAACTACTTTCTCCAGCAGCTGAGTGAGGGTGGGAAGGGCAGGGGATGTGAACTGCTCACAAATATTTGGTCATCTCATTGCTGTGGGCAGGCACCCAGATGGAGCAAAACCAGAACCGCAAGTGAAATACAAGCATTGCTGCTCCTCTTTGCTCATTGTTGTGCTTTCTGCTCATTGTGGGAAAAGTGCTGCTCTGGGCTGCTGCATAAACACTAGCATCAAGTACAGTGAACCATTTACATTAATAGGGATATTGCAAAATCTCAACTCTAAACTTTATATAACTTCATGAAGTAATGATATATTACATTTCCATAGTGCTCTCCACCTAAAATCCCCAAAGGCTTTATTTCTTGCATATGTAGAAATCACTTCACTTGCTCCAGACTGCTGCCATCTTTGGGACAGAAGACAGCAACGCCACCTGGGCTCAGGAAAGAATCCGGTTGTGCATAAGACTGTGTAAGGGTAAGGGCAGGAGGACAGAGTTACCTATCACATGATTTGTCTGGGGTTTAATACCTTACTCCTGTGAAGTATGATCCTGTAATGACTAGCAGCTCTGAGACTTAACCTACAGCACAACCAGGAAGGCAATGCTGAAAAGCACTGTGCCAGGACACTTGTTGCCATGCTGTTTATTGAGTCACCAGCACCGCTTCCTGGTACAACTGGATTTTCCTTGTGGCCTCCCATCTAAACACACCAGTACCAGCAAGCACGCCTCTACCCACCTAGTTTGTAAAAATTAAAGAAAAGCCCAGCCTGCAGTGGAATAGCAAACCCCATCAATTACTGACTAACTAGCAGAGAGGAAGAATGGCTTATGGTTACAGGTCTGTCCTGGGGGGGTGGGAGAGCACGTTCTGCTTCCCCCATCCTATAGGGAGCCACTCATTGTCCCTGAGGGGACACTTCATCTTGCTTAGCATGAGATGTCTCGTTTGGGGCTCCAACTCTTGACAACAGAGGCACCTTTGTGGTTGGTTTATCCCATTTATTTTTAGGGTGGGGATGCATTGCCTCCTCGGGGTGTCTTCTCCCTCAATGGTGAACGGAGCCCAGACAACTAACTTAGGTAATTAACTTCTAAAGAGCTAAAGTTAGATGAGATCTCATCTAACTCATACTCTCATAATCTCATACTAAACCAGATTTCTCTATCCATAACTTGAAGACAATAGCCTCCTTACCTACCGTGCCACAAAGTCAAACACACTAAAACCTGTTAAACATCAATTGAGGTTACATGTGTGTGATACCTAGACATTAAGTAGTAAGAAGTATGGGTAACTGGATACAGCAACAGTGAAATTTTGGCTTTGCCAGTAAGCTCCTTGTTAAAATCTTGTTTTCATTAAATTTTTAGCAGTTCAAACAACAAAAACTGTCTTTTTGTCCTGAAGTAATACTCTATTTTAACTGGACTTAATTGATTTTTGATGGAGTTTTTCCTTTCAGCCAGAGTGTCTGGGTTCCAGTCTCAAAGGAAGCACTCTTACAGTCTCTGAAAGCAACTCCTCTGCTGTGCAGAGGCCATGTCTTTGACAGTAATAGCTCTGCAATTGTTTTCTTTCTTTCTCTGCTCTCTGAAGAAAGATTCCTACACTGTTTTTAAAGACAGGATTTAAGATCAGTAAACCTGTTTTAAAGCTTTGGTACCGAACCTCCAGAAAGCTAAGAAAGCATCTTGCCTTGTTTTCTGAGATTTCAAGGCATTTATTGGAAGAGATGCTTTCAGTTCTCATAAACTGATCTTTTTTCAGTCAGTTTGATGGTTTTATTGCATCACCAATTTCTGTTTGGTGCACTTAGCACTCCACTTGGCAGAGTTGTAACTTCATTCTGCTAGTAACAAGCCATCATCCCTAAGGCTTACAGCTTCCCCCTTGCAGTGCAGGCTTTAAAAAAAGATGATAACAAGATGCGCTGCAATCTGAAGCCTGTGGTATGGACAATTCCCCAGTGTCCTACTGACACATGACATTGTGTACAATGTTGGCAAAATATTAGAGAAATCATATGGGGAGGAAGGGCAAGTGTTGCCGATGATATGGTTTCTTTATTGAGGTGAGCTTTGGGGAGGGAGAAAGGGGCAGGTGCTGCAAAACATATTGGAGTACATACCAGTCACTTATCTTTCCAAACAGAGGACTTACACGCTGGAGCTGTTAGGCATAAAGACAGAGGTATAATGCCAATTCAAAGGGATTGTAGATTAACACTGCACGCTGTAACCAGGCAGTAATAACATCTAGTAATTCTCTGATGTCTTGAAGAGCAGACGGCTTCACTCTTTTGGGTAGCAAGTTAAGGAAGATGACTTGCTTAGATGTCAAGAAATTTCTACTCCAAAATCAGAACAAGCCATATCCACTTGAAATGTTTACAAATACTTCCTGAATGTATTCAAAGGTGTTTTCATTTTCCATGCAAAATAAACTGTGCTGACAGAACTTATAACCTGTTCTGACATCCATAATATTATTTTAAAGAATTATAGCAACTAATCAATATGCACTTTGAGAGTCCATAAAGCAATCTGAATGGTCAGAGTTTTAATTATAAGCACCCTGGAATAAGAAAGGGACCAAAAATATATCTTAATTAAGTGGCTGGCGTCAGAAGTTAAGGGATATTAGTCCAATGTAAGTGCCCAAGGAAATGCTTCCAGGTACAGTCTGAAGCTCACCTCGCCTTCCTTGGCACAGACTGTGATTAACACTTCCTCCATGGAAGGTAAAGCCTAAAAACATGGGGCTTGTGATTCTGGAACCCATCTGCATGCCTCCAACTGAGCAATCAGGACCTGACTTGCCATTTGCTGTCTAAGTGTGTTTGCAGTTATTATTCCAATATTATTCTCACAGATATGCAAAGTTATGTAGGAAAATTATGTGTAATGCAACTATAAACTCTTGACTGACCCATCTTTTAAGTTTCTGTCTCTGGCTGACAAGATGCCTCTCTAATATATCCCAAGTAGGAGAGAGAAAGGGGAACACTACCCCTGGGATTCTCCTTTTCAGATAAATTGCAGCTTGGCTTTTCAAAGGAGATTAGGATAGCTTCAGAGTGCAATTCAGAGTGCTTGATTTGACATCGAAAATAAAATGTATTCCAAATTTAGGCACTTCTATTCAAGAAGATGATACTGGAGTCCAAGCTTCAGCCATGGAGGTATCTTCCTAGGAAACCTGGAAGATCTTAAGGAATCAGTGCTTGCACTGAAGAATTTCCAGTCCAGAAAGCCAAGGGCACAGCTCACACCTACAGCTGTGCCCAAATGCTAATTCCCCGGAAGGTCTAGTACAGCATGGGATATGAAAGCAACAGTTTTAAGTCCAGCACAAAACACTGCAGCTACTCGAGA